TGGTGTCCAGAGCAGCCTGACATCACTTCCCAGGAAGTTGTTATAAATAAACTCTCGTGCTCTGGAGAAGGAAGCTGGCAACAGATCCCCCCAACTGCAGCACATTCACATGTTGTGTTTGCTGCTCAGTTCAAACCTTTCTAATCAGCTCCAGTCTTGTCTCCTGGCTCTGGCAGGAGCACGAGCAGCAGCTGCTCAGTGAGACACAAACTGTTGTGCATCTGGCCTGGCATCTCCATGCCAAGCTGGAGGCCCTGGACCAGCACAACTGTCACCCCTTCCCCCCCCCTCCAGCCCATCTGAAACGTGTTCCTGGCTCTCTCCCTCTCAGGATTCTGAACACGACCCTGTTTGAGAGCTGGGAGCTGATCGGTCCTTACCCCTCCTGGTGGCTCTTCAACGGGCTCCTGGTGACCCTGCAGGTCCTGCACATCATCTGGTCTTACCTCATCATCCGCACGGCCTCCAAGGCCCTGGTGAGGGGCAAGGTAAGGCTGGGGGTGCCCTTGGGGGGCTCCTCTTTCCTACAAACCTTGATAAAGGGGCAAGGTGAGGCTGGGGGTGCCCTTGGGGGGCTCCTCTTTCCTACAAACCCTGATAAAGGGGCAAGGTAAGGCTGGGGGTGCCCTTGGGGGGGTCCTCTTTCCTACAAACCCTGATAAGGAATCCTGAGAAACTGGGGCCCTTCAGTGGGGGCTGGGGCTGGTTCTCGAGGGACCTGCATCAGGAGTCCTGCAAGGAGAGTGATTTTTTTTTACCTCTGCAGTTCCCAGGTGTGCTCAGGAGGCTTCCTGTGTTCTGGGCATGCAGGGAAATAAATCCATTTTCTAGCATGCTCAGATGTTTTAATAGTAATGGTGGTGGCAGACTTTGTTAGGTACTTTGGAGGTTAAGGTGGTGACAGGCTCTTTTTTGAACTACAGGATGAACACACAGGATGTTTTCCAACAACTTCAGCTGGTCCTGGGGATGTGCTGAGGGTTGTGCACCTTCACCTGTCAGCACAGACACTGAGCTCCAGCGTGGAGGGAGAGGGTTCTCAGGGATGCAGAGGGGTTTGCTGGTTGTCAAAGAACCACAGGATGGCCTGGCTTGGACTTCAAGATCATCCAGTTCAAGGCCAAGGTCAGATGGGCCTTGGAGCACCTCAGTGGAAGGTGTTGGAACTGGGAGTTGGAACTGGGTGTGATCCTTCAGGTCTGTTCCAACCCAAACCATTCTGTGATTCTGTGAAAGAGCAAAAAGCTGATTTAGGAGGACGGATGCTTTTTCCAGTCAGGTTTTGGTGTTCTGAGCCGAGTTTCCCCTCGTGGCTCTGCGTTATTTTGTGGTTTTGACTTCAGCTGCCCCCACACAGGGATTGTTGACTTCCAGAAATGTTTCTGTCGTGGTTGCCCGTGGCAGGGACTGTGGGGGAAGGCAGGTTTTGGGAGTCTGAGCTCTCCCATCTGTTCCCCACAGCTGCTGCTGCAAATGCCTGATTTTTCTGCCTCTGGAGCTGTTTCTGTATCCTGAGTTCTACACCTTTTTCCCTTTCCTTGGTTCTCTCCTGTCCAGGTGACCTAGCCAGAGAAAGGACTCTAAGCTCTGTCTTCTTCATTCTTTTCTCCTTTTCTCTGTGCCAGATTGGAGCTGGACAGTTCCACCCTTTGCATGTAAGTGTGACCTGTGGTTCTCTTTGTTCACTGAAACACGGCCAGGACAAAAGCAGGGCTCTGGTCTTGGGGCTTTGGTGCCTTCTCCTTCTCTCCCTGCTCCTGACAAAGTGCCAAAACTCAGTTTTTTCCAAAGGGCAGAGCAGTGTCCTGGGGTCTGATCTTACCTGCTGTCACCTGCCTGCATGACCTTCACTCTCTGCTTTTACACACACACACACTCTGATTTCTGTCTTGGCTCCTCGAGGGGGAGAGGACAGGAGAAAAATGCTCCTGTGTGTGAAAAGGAGTAAAACAGTCCCTTATCCCCCAATAATGGGGAAAAATTCAAGGGATTTCTGCTTCTTCCCAGTGACCCTTTGAACTTTCCAACACAGCAGGAGACTGGGGGACAGATAAGCAAAAGTTCTGGCCACAGGGCAGAAGCCAGAACATCCAGCAGGGCTCCTGGAGATCATTAACTTCCCCTGGCTTCCTGCCAGAGCTTCCCTGGAGTTCAACCACTTCCTGCTGCTGGAGGGCCCTAACCCTGACTCAGAATGAAATCCTGGAATCCTTGGAAAGCTGTGAGCCAGGGTGCTGGCACGTGGAGCACACGAGGGCTGTTGGCTGCAGAGGCAGGAGGGAGGAGAGCGAGGAGCAAGAGCAGGGACTGGGGAGGTTTTGCCTCTGGCACCTGCCACCTCCCCAGGTGTGTGTTTGCAGTCAGGGCCGGGTTTATGGGCTCTTCCCTCTCCCTTCTGGCTCCACAGGGCTGGAATAGGGCCCTCCTGTGGCACCAAAGTCCTCCTGGAAAGGTTCAAATTCCCCCCCCCCCACCACGGATCAAACTGAGCTGGGTTTGCAGCTGAGGCATAACCCTGCTGGCAGATCTGGATCTCTGGGATGAGGCTCCTCCTGTTCCCACACACTGCCTTTGTTCTCCATCCTGCTCTCCCAAACAGGCCCCTGCCCCTCAGTGGGATCTCCTGGATGAAGCACACAGGCTGGTGAGATTGGGAGGTGCAAAGCAGTGATGTGATAAATTCAGCTGGTTAATTTTTAAAGCAGCAGAGCCTCTCCCCGTGGGACAAAATGTTCCCTCTCAGGCTGATAACGTTGCTGGGGCTTGGTCATTGTGCCCACTGGTGATCGTGGCATGGGAAAGTTTGGAGTCAAAACAAGTTGTTTGGAGAAATGGCCTTTTAACCCATCTAGAGTGGAGCTCTTGGAAGGCAAGGACACCCCCAGATCCGTGGTGTCCTCTGATCTGCTGAGAGCACAGAGAGCGAAGGGGCTTTCACAGATGCACAGTGTTTGGAAAATGGAACTCACCTCCCAGACTGTCATTTGCAGGGTCTGTCTTGTTCCTAATGCCATGACAGGATCTTCCTTGGGAGCTTGAACTGCTCCAGGCTCAAATGCAGGAGGTAGATGTGACTTTGAAGCTGGTTCATCACGTGGGCACAGCCTCCTAACCGCTGTTTTCTGTGCATTTTCCAACTCCCCTTCTCCTCTCCCGCCACCCAATTCCCACTGGCCACCTTTTAGGTGTCCAAGGACGACCGCAGTGACGTGGAGAGCAGCTCTGAGGAGGAGGAGGTGACTTCCAACAGCACAAAAGGAGTCTTCAGCACTTCCAGCAACGGCTCCAACCGCCTCAACGGCCACGTGGCCGGCGGCCAGTGGACAGGGGAGGAGTAAGGCCCTGGGCTTGGCCTTGAGCAAGCATGGACTTCTCTTTCAATTATCTAGTTGTGTTGAGCTCCACATTCCCAAGTGATCTTTAATCAAAAAAAAAAAACAACAACAACAAACCCCCCCCTTCCCCAGACACCTCCAGCAAAACCCGAAACGGGCGCAGCCCCGACCGGTGCGAGGGACGAAGCCGGGGCGAGAACACAGAGCTGCAGGTTCCACTTCAAGCCACTCTGTACTTCAAAAGTACAAAAAAACCAAAAACAAACAGCCCCAAGTTGTTGAACCCCAAGAGTTGCTGTTGATATCTGCAGAGGTGTCTTTTGTTTGCCACGGACTGGTTGGTTTTTCACTGGGATCAAACTCGAGGCGAGAGCGGGTTTGGACGAGGCCAGTCCAGAAGCACTCCAGGAGCCACTTTGGAGCAGGTTCCAGGTCCAGAAGCACTCCAGGAGCCACTTTGGAGCAGGTGCCACATCCAAACTGCCCTGGGGGAGGCAGAGGCTCTTTTCTCAGCCTTGAGCTTTGAACTGTGCTACCCCCAGAACTGCTGTCCTGACTCACCCCCGGGGTGCTGAGGAGGTCCCAGCTGCTCATCTCTGCTGCCACCAGGGACCAGGCCAGCGTCTGCTGCCTCTTTTGGTGCTGCAAACCCCTCTGAAGTCTTGACCAAAGCCTTCTGCAAGGGGTGGTTTATTGCCCCTGAGACAACCAGCACAATCCAGGCCTTTTAAATTGTTTGTTTGTTTGTTTTTTTCCCCCCTGTTGCAAATTGTGGTTTTTGAAGACTTTTCTAGACCTACTGGATCCAGTTGGCTGAGCTGGGATCAGAGGGAGGACCAGAACCCGTGGGATGGGTTTAACCCTCCAAAAAATGGGATGTTTTGGTCCTGTACTCCAAGACAGAAGGTGAATGTTGCTGCTCTGATGCTGCAGCTGTGGAGGAAGAACCCGGGGCTGGAAGAGCAGCCACACCGTGGGCTTTTGCTTCTCTTTTTTTTTTTTAACTCAATGGTACTTGGGGGCAATGGAATGGTCAATCAGGAGCAGAATTTTGGAAACTTCTCGACTCGTTACCATTTTATACTGTTGTTTACTCTTATCTCCGATTAAAAGTTGCTTCAGAACCTTGGGGTGACAGGTTCCACGCCGAGTTTGGAAGAACAGGGTAGAGGTGATGGGCCAGTGGAAGGTGCCCCTCTGGCCATGGCAGGGGGGGGTGGAACTGGGTGATATTTAAGGTCCCTCCCAGCCCAGCCCAGCCTGTGATTCTGTGGTTTGGGGGGCACCACAAACACAGCACCACGCCTGGCTGCTTTCACACGGGTTTTATTGGGCCCAGGGGGGCAAAAGGGTGGTTCCTGCTGCCCCCTCAGTCAGTCCCAGTCCTGGCTCAGCTCCTGGGGTTGATTCCAGTCCCAGACTGGGTGCAGGACCAGTCCCAGGCTGGGCTGAGTTCACTGGGCCAGGTTCAGCTCCTGGGGCAAGTCCCAGCTCAGCTCCTGGGGCTGGTCCCAGTCCCAGATTGGGTGCAGGACCAGTCCCAGGCCAGGCTCAGTTCACTGGGCCAGACTGAGCTCCTGGGGCCAGTCCCAGTCCCAGCTCAGCTCCTGGGGCTGGTCCCAGTCCCAGTCCAGGCTCAGTTCACTGGGCCAGGCTCAGCTCCTGGGGCCGGTCCCAGTCCCAGCTCAGCTTCCAGGGCTGGGCATGGGGCCGGTCCCAGGCTGGTCCCAGCTGCTAGACCCGGTCCCAAGCTGGTCCCAGCTCCCAGACCCGGTGCCAGGCTGGTCCCAGCTCCCAGACCTGGTGCCAGGCTGTTCCCAGCTGCCAGGCCCAGTGCCAGCACCAGCCCAGGCTCAGCTCTGGGGCCCAGGCGTGTTCTCCTCCCGCTCCCGGCGGTGCTGGAGCATCCTCTGGACACGGACAGTGCACAGGTACCCCGCGTACAGTGTCAGCAGCATCATGGAGCCCGAGAAGGCCTTGTAGCCAAAGTCTGCCAGCTGCTTGCCCGACACCATGGCTGTGCCTGCGGGGGGAATCACACTGTCACAGGACTGTCAAGGACCCCTGGAGATCCCCCAGCCCAGCCAGGGTCACCTGGAACACGTCCAGGAGGGGTTTGGGATGTCCCCAGAGAGGGGGGGACCCCGAGCCCTCCCTGGGCAGCTGTTCCAGGGCTCTGCCACCCTCCACAGGAAGTTCTTCCTCGTGTTGAGGTGGAACTTCCCATGGTTTAGTTTATGGCCATTGCTCTTTGTCCTGTGGCTGAGCACCACTGAGAAGAGCCTGGCACCATCCCTGGCACTTGGAGATATTTACACACCACCCTGGAGATATTTGACATTAATGAGATCCCCTCTCACTCTTCTCCAGACTAACCAAGCCCAGCTCCCTCAGTCTCTCCTCATCAGAGACCTGCTCCAGACCCCACTGGGACCCTCCCCAGTAGTTCCTTGACTTTCCTCTCCAGAGGAGCCCAGAACTGGACGTGGCACTCCAGATGTGCCTCACCAGGGCTGGGCAGAGGGGCAGGATCCCCTCCCTGGCAACGCTTTTCCTGACGCACCCCAGGATCCCACCGTCTTCCCTGCACCCCCCCGGGTCACACTGCTGGCCCACGGTCACCTTGACCCCCCCATGTCCTCCATAGAGCAGCAGGTCACCCCCAACCTGTGCCGGTACTTGGGGTCGTTACCCAGAGCTGGTACTTGGGGTCGTTACCCAGTGCCGGTATTTGGGGTTGCTCCTCCCCGGCTGCAGGACCCCGCGCTTGCCCTCGCTGGAATAACCTCATTAGCTTATCCTAATGAATTCTAACAGCTCATTAACCTTCTCTCCGCCCAGTTCTCCAGCCTTCACGTGGGTCAGCCGCTCTCCCCCCCGGGTCCCGCCGCATCCCCAAAAACCCGCTCAGGTCGCTGATCGGCACTTTAATCAATAAGACCGGGCCCGGTATTGAATGGGCTTCCCAGGACGGCGGCGGTGAGCGGGGCCGGCAGCGCCCTTCCCCTCTCGTCCTCCCCTATCCCACCGCACCCCATCCCTCCCTGTCCCTCCCTATCCCATCCCACCCCACCCCATCCCATCCCATCCCATCCCGTCCCATCCCGTCCCTCCGGACTCACCCTCTCCCTGTCACGTGTCCCGCCGGTGTCACGTGCCCGCCTCCCGGGAGGGAGTCACGTGTGTCGAAAACGTCACGCGGCACCACCCACGGGAAGCCCGCGCGGCGCCCCCTGGCGCCCCCTGGCGGCGGCGACTCCACAGCCGCCCCCCCCACACCCGCTCCCTCCCTCAGGCCGCCATCGCTGCCCACACGGGTCTCCCGGCACGAGGAGCCCTCAGGGCACAGCCCTTGGCCGCGCGGGGATGGAACAGAGGCTGCCCGGCCTCCCCCCCCCCCCCGCTCCCTGCAGCCCCGGGACTTGGAGGCGCGGTACCATCCAAAGCCATCATGAGGGTGCCAATGCCTTCTCAAGAATCCCAGTGGCTTCACAAGAGCCCTGGTGCCATCCTGAGGGGCCTGGTGTCATCCTGAGGGTCCTGGTGCCATCCCAGGGACCTGGTGCCATCCTGAGGGCTTTGGTGCCGTCCTGGGGGTCCTGGTGCCTTCCCCAGTACCCTGCTGCCTTCCCAAGGGTCCCAGTGCCTTCCCCAGTGTCCTGGTGCCTTCCCAAGGGCTCCAGTGACACCCTGAGGGTCCCAGTGCCTTCACAAAGGTCCAGTGCCATCCCAATGATCCCAGTGCAATCCCAGTGATCCCAGTGCCATCCCAACGATCCCAGTGCCTTCACAAGGGTCCAGTGCCATCCCAACAATCCCAGTGCCATCCCAATGATCCCAGTGTTCTCCCGAGGGTCCCAGTGTCTGTCCTGGTGTGCCCCCAGCCCAGAGCCTCCTTCCCCCAAGCCCCCTTGGCAGCTGCTCCGTTCCCGCAGCTCCTTCCCAGCATTCGCACTCCGCTGTCCCAGCCCTGCTCCATCCAGGGCTCCCTGGAGCTCCGAGGTTGCCACAGTCACCCTTTCCCCCCTCTCCTCGTCCTTCCCGCACCAGCAGCAGCTCCCGGGGGCTGCGACGCCGGGATGTGCTGAGCCTGCAGAACATAATTCCAAATGGCAAAGGGAAGAGGCTTTTTATAGCTCAGGAGCTCCCAGCTCCGGAGTGGGGTGTCTGAAAGCGAGAGATCCGTGTGCTGGTCCCCCCAGGTGAGACTCGGGAGCGAAGCTCTGCAGGGACTCTGGCGCTGGCAGAGTCAAAAGAAACCCAGATGAGGGGGATGCCCGAAGCATTTCCACCTCCGAGGAGCTCCCAGCTAAACACAACTCCCCGCTGGATCCTGCTGCAGCTCCAGGCAGGTGCTGGTTGGGAGCAGAGCTCGGGGATCCTCTTTCCTGCACGAGCCTCATGTCCAAACACTCGGACTCCTGAAAGCGCTCGAAGACAAAGGGAACCACAAGTCGTGCCAGCCCTGCAGGAACACGCTGGACTTCCTTTATCCTCCCTCCAAGCTCAATTAAGCTCCTCGGCAGAGGAGGCCCTGCCGGCTCCCTGAATTTAAAGGTCGCCGAGCGCCTGGTGAGAAAACGTGGCTAATAAAAGGCACAGAAACAAGAGCAGTGCCAGCAGATTAAATTCCCCTCGCAAGACGCCGAGCGCAGGGCTCGGAGCCCTGCAAAGGTCACTCGGGACGAGGCACCTTCAGAGACAGCCGGGGACGAGGCGAGTCAGGGCAGAGCAGCTGGGAGGAGATGAATAAAACCCCACGGCGTGCAGAGCCAGGACATCAGAGGAGGGGAGGCCCCGGGTGTGTGGGGCACAGTGGGGGCCTGGCCCAGCTCCTGCAGGCCCCAGGTGAGGACTCTGGACCCGGCTCAACGCCGCGGTCCCGACCTGCTGCGGTCCCACAGCCAAACTTTAATCCTGGAACCGCTGCTGAGACAAAGCAAGTGGGACACTGTGTGACATAAACAGGGACCTGCGGGGACATTCTTGCTGTTTCTGGGACAGCCCGGGAGGGTGCAGAGCCAGGAGGGAACGGGCAGTGCCCTGTTCTGAGCGCTCGGCGAGTCCGGCAGGCACCAACCCAACGGCAGCGACGCACCGGAGCCGCAGAGCAGGGAGAGCATCTCCCCTCTCCTCTCCTCTCCGTGTTTATTGCCAGTTTAAAAGCACAATGCCCATCAGAGACCCGAATGGGGGGCACCGGGAGCCCTGCAGCACTCCAGCGTTCCAGAATTCCAGCCCAGGCAGGATCAGTGACCGCTGGACACGCTGGCCTTGAGCAAACACCGCCAGCTGCAGAGGAGCAGGGGGACACGTGGCACCTGCCTGGACAAGGGGCAAGTTTCACAGGCCCAATGTGAGGCCTCAGACCTCTGCCCTGCCCTGTACCTGTCGTGGATCACATGCCCATTCCTGCCCCGGTGCCAGCGGGCAGTTTGCAGCATCCCCACGGCAGGGAAGGCGTGGGACCTGCTCCTCAGCTCCCAGCTGGGAGCACAGAGCAGGCTAAAAGCACAGGCTGAAGTGAGCCTGAGAGGGCAAAGTGTGGCTGTGGGTCGTTTATTTAACAGCAACATGACCCAGGTGCCCTGTACCCACCCCCTGGCTCTGCAGGTACAAGGCAGGGGGCACAGAGACTTGGGGGGCAGTTGGTCCCTGCAGTGCCAAGCCCCAGAGGATAAAGTGGGACAGGGAGAGAAGTCAGCGGGCGTGGAATTCCCACAGGCAAACCCGTGACAGCAGGGGAGTTCCCCGGGGCAGGGGCCAGGTGGGACTGCGAGAGCAAAAGCTCTAAACAAACAAGCCCCAAAGTGTCCCTCTGGAGCTGTGGAGCAGCACTGGGCCAGCAGGAGCAGCTGGGGGTGGCTCGGGAAGCAGCACATGGCAGGGTGGCAAGGAATGCCATTGCCTGGCGCTGGTGCTGCTTAGAAAGAAGATTCTCAGCACCTCTGGGAGTCCTGAGGAGCTTTGCTCAGCGGGTGGAGCCTGGCAGGGGGGACTGTGCCCTCTCCACCAGGCAGGGAGGCCAAAAGCAGCAGCAGCAGGCAGGGAAGGGCTGGTGTCACCCAGAGTGGCCCCGTGGGGCTCAGAGGGAGGACTCGGGGCACTGTTTGTCCTCCCAGCTCGTATCAACCACGACAGAGTCCTTCCCAGAGCTGAATCCATCACAGCAGGAGGAAATGGAAGGAGGAAGATGCTCAGTCCCGCTCAGGGCAGACCTTAGAGAGCGGCAGAAACTAAACGAGCCCTTCACAGAGAGAGGGAGGTCAGCAGGTACCTCTGTGCCAGGCTCAGGCTGGCAGCGTCCAGGGCTGGGGAAGGGACCCTCTGCCCTTCCAGCACCCTGCCAAGGCTCCCAGGAGACCCGGACTCCTCACAAAGCTGTGGCAGCAGGTCGGGCTGGTGCGGGCGGGAGTCTCTGCGCGTCTCAGCAGGGCCGGTGGCCTGGCAGGCAGAGCCCCTCACATGTGCTCAGGGTGGTTCTGGAGACACTTGATGAAGTCAGTGACAGGTTTGCCCTCGTAGCAGATCTGATACACGGCGGTGAAGAGGGGGAACCTGTGGGCAGACGGACACAGAGACACCACAGCTGGCAGGGTCAGAGCACCTCGACTGCTGCCCTGACGAGCAGGAGCAGGTGGGACAGTGGCACTGGGCCCCATCCAGCAGGAATCCTGCCTGGCTGGCGTGATGTGGGCAGTGCACGGATTGCCCTGAACAGCTGAGACACCAAGGGGGGGTTTCCCCTGCTGCTGCAGGAAAGGGTTGCAGCCCCAGCCCAGCAGATTCCAGCACTCACTTCTCCACCACGTTCTTGCTCTTGAGGATCCGATGCACCTCAGCAGACGTCTGGGGGCCCTGCAGCTTCTGCCCATTCAGCATCTCCTTCTCCAGCTGCTCGACGGACTGAAACAACCCAGCCAGTGAGGAGCTGGGCCTGCAACCCCCACAATCCCACCCCGTGCCTGAGGGCGTTTTCCAAACCCTCCCGAAGCTCTGGCAGCCTTGGGGCCGTGCCCACTGCCCTGGGGAGCCTGGTCAGTGCCCAACCACCCTCTGGGGGAAGAACCTTTTCCTGAGATCCAGCCTGACCCTGCCCTGGCACAGCTCCACACCCCCCACCCTCAACACCAGCCGCTCCCAGCCCCTCTCACCTTCCCCGTCTTGGCAAAAGCCTCGGCAACCTTGCGGTTGCGGCCCCCGTAGCAGGTGGTGATGAGGTCGGCGACCCCGCAGCTCTCCAGGAAGGTGGTGGGGGTGACGGGGCCCTTGCAGAAGAGTTTGGCAAAGCCAGTCATCTCCATCAGCCCCAGGCGGATCACGGCGGCCTTCGTGTTGTCGCCATAGCCCAGCCCGTCGCAGAAACCGGCTCCCACGGCCACCACGTTCTGGAAAACGACGGGAACGTGGAGGGATCTGTTCCCAGCAGAGCTCAGGGCTTTGCTGTGCCCATGGTTTGTCTCGTGTGGGGATCCTGAGCACCAGGTCCTGCCTGTGCCAGTGCCCATCATCCCTCCGAGCGGCTGAACGGGACGAGTCCCTCCGAAGTCCCTCCAAAGTCCCTCCAAAGTCTGGCCTGTGCCTCAAAGGTCTCAGCAGCCACAGTGGGGTCCGTTCCCCTGGCAGCCTCTCCCCTGGCAGCCTCTCCCCTGGCAGCCTCCTCCCCAGAGCTCCCTGCAGAGCCCTGCAGGCCCCCCCAGGCTCTGCTGGCCAAGCCCTGCACACCCACCTTGAGAGCCCCACAGATCTCCACGGTGTCGGCTTCCTGCACCACCGACACTCGGAAGTTGGGGGTCTGCATCAGCTCCTTCAGCATCTGCCCGTGCTTCGTGTTCTTGCAGCCTGAGGAGACAAAGGGAGGAGGAGGAGGAGGAGGAGGAGGAAGATGAGGGGGAAAAACCCCGAGGTAGGACCGTGCTGTCCCCTGCAGCTCATCCAGGGACAGGAACCTATTGCCCAACCGATGGACGTGGCCAAACATTTGCAGGTCCCCCAAGAGCCAGGCACACATGGCCTGAGAGATAAGCAACGCTCAGCCTTGGCACTCCCGGAGAACTCCCAGAGAACTCCCTGCTGCTTCATCAAGCAAGGCACAAATGACCTGCCCAGTGGGTTAAAGGCATCTTCAAAGGCTGCAGATTTGGGGTTGGAGCCCGTTGTTGCGGGGGTCCTGTGTGTTCACAGGGACCGTGGGCTCTGTTCCACCTCCCCAGCCTCCTGCCCAGCGTGCTGGCTGTTGTTTCACTAAACACAGACACTTTGAATCCCACAGCCTCTAACCCAGCAAACTGCTGTGTTGGTTTTGGCTCCGGGCACGGTTCCCAACAGTGTGCAGGGTGTTGGAACAGATCAACTTCCAAGCAGCCCTGGCTGGGCAATAATGTGAGATCCAGGTGAGCATCCCGTGAAGCCCAAGGAAATGAAGGGTGGAACTTATTCCTCAAGTGCCTCATGGTGTCCACCCCTTTAACTTGTGCCAGGCACGGTGCTGGCAGGAAAGTTTTAGCCACACAACCCTGTTGTTAACAAAACGAGTGATCCCATCATAAACCCTGGGAATGAGCTCAGCCAGCTCCTGGGGAATCTCCTGCCTTCCCAGGGAAAAGGGCCGGCTCAGCCAGCAGTTTGAGCTGCACTTTTGTGCCCCCCACTTTGCCTCTCATCACAAACGAAGGCTGCTAACGAGGAGGGACAATGGCTCCTTACCAATGGTGGTTTCACAGAACTTCTCATCTGCCACCTCATTGGCAATGTTGGCCCCCATGAGCACGGTCATCTCTATTCCCAGTTTCTCATGGATGATGTCCGAGATCAGCCTCAGCCCATCTGGTCCTTCGTCCACGCCCTGGGAGACAACCGAGGACAGAGGTCGCAGAACCACCGAGTCAATTCGGTTGGAAAAGACCTCTGAGATCACCGAGTCCAACCTTTGAGTGATCACCACCTCCTCAACGAGACATGAGCCCCTCCTGGACACCTGCCCCCCATCCCAATCCCGCCATTCCCTGTCCTGCAACGTTCCCACTGTGATCCCAACACGCCGAGCTGTGCCCTGCTCCTCACAGATCCCCCACGTGCTCTCACCAGCACCTCCAAATCCCCACGAAGACTCTGCCCCCCCTCTCCCCACATCCCCCACACCCCCCCATCACCCCATTTCCGCCCCCAAATCCCAGGATTCCCTTTGCAGCCCCTCCGAGCCGGGCTGCTTCCAGCTCCTCCCCACCTTGATGAGCGACATCCCCACGGCCTCTTTCTTCACGTGGCCCTTGAGCTGGTCGCAGACGCCGCCGATGAACTGGTGGGGCACCACGAACAGGAGCACGTCGGCCCCCGCGCAGGCTTTGAGCAGGTCTGGCTCTGCCACCTGACAGAGAAGGGAAGGAAGGGCCCGAAGTCACCACACCGAGGTCCCTGCCAGGGCTGGCAGGGGCTGGAGCAGAGCTGGAGCAGAGCGGGACGGTGCCAGCTCGGAGGCAGCCACATGGCCTCCAGCCCAGCCCGCGGGACGCCAGAGAGGGGGGGACAAAGGTGGGCAGCGAGAGCAGCCGGGGCTGCAGCTCATCCAAACGCGGATCAAGGTCAGCAGGAGGGTGTCAGCGAGCCCCACACATCCCCTCCCTCACACCCCAGCAGCCCCCCGGCGCCATCAGCTGTGCCCCTCGGGGCTGGCAGCCCCCACGCTCACCACGTTGGGGGGCAGTTTGTGCCCGGGCAGGTACTTGACGTTCTCGTGCTCGGCGTTGATGATGTCGGTGAGGCGCCGGCCGCCCACCTCCTCCTGCAGCACCCACATGTTCACCTGGCTCTCGAAGCCGCTCAGCCGCGCCGCGTTGGCACCGACGATCTTGGCGATGGCAGAGCCCCTGCGAGGGCACAGCGGGGCCGTGGGCACCGGGGGAGCATAGGGCACCGGAGAGCCCAGGGCAACGGGGATACCAGGGCACCAGGGAGCCCAGGGCACCGAGGGGAGCACAGGGCACCAAGGGGAACCCAGGGCACCGAGGGGATCTCAGGGCACCGAGGATCCCAGAGCACCGAGGATCCCAGGGCACCAGGGATACCAGGGCACCAGAGAGCCCAGGACACCGAGGGGAGCCCAGGGCAACGGGGATACCAGGACACCGGGGGAACCCAGGGCACTGGAGATACCAGGGCACTGAGGGGAGCCCAGGGCACTGGGGAGCCCAGGGCACTGCTGCTCACCCTGGGACCGGTGCCACCAAGGAGCCCAGGGCACCGGAGAGCCCAAGGCACCAAGGATCCCAGGGCACCAAGGATCCCAGAGCACCGAGGATCCCAGGCCACCGGGGGAGCCCAGGGCACCGCTGCTCACCCTGGGACCGGTACCACAGGAGGGGACAAGGGACCGCGCTGTGCTGGCCCGGGGGACACGGGTGATCCCAGCGCTCACCAGTTGCCGGAGCCCACGACGCAAACCTTCTTGCCACCCATGGTGGTGCCAGGACCGGGGCGCTGCGGGAACCGGACCCGCCGCCCGCTATTTCAAGGGCGCCCCGGAGCAGGGGCGGCCCCCGGCCCGCCCCCGGCCCCGCCTCGCCCCGGGGGCACCGCGGGCACGGCCGGGGCTCCGCGCTCGGGGGCAAAGTGCAGAGACCCGGAGCGGTTCGGATCCCCCGCAGAACCAGGAGCCGCTCGCTGAATCGCAGAATCGTGGAATATCCCGAGTTGGAAGGGACCCGCGAGGATCAGAATCCACCCCGACAATCCCACCCTGTCCCTGGGAGCGTTGTCCAAACGCTCCCGGAGCTCTGGCAGCCTTGGTGCTGTGCCCGCTGCCCTGGGGAGCCTGCTCAGTGCCCAACCACCCTCTGGGGAAGAACTTTTTCCTGAGATCCCCCCTAAACCCTCCACGACACAGCTCCAGCCCTTCCCTGGGTCCTGTCCCTGCTCACAGAGACCGGAGCTGCCCCTCGGGAGGAGCTGCAGCCCCCGAGGAGGTCTTTAGCTGTCTGCCGAGCCTCTCCCTCCTTTTCTGCATAAAAACATTTCGTTCTGTCTTCCTAAAAGTGCCACTTTGCCCCCAGGTAAGGAGTAAGAACGACCTGGACTTGGCTCCTGCCTCAATCTCAGCCTGAGGCAGCAGCGTTTTCCACCTCACAGAGGATCCTTTCCTTGCCCCAGGGGCTCCCAGGTTTGCTGGGAGGCATTTTCAGCTCTATAAACCACCAGGGCGAAGAGAACAATTCCCCTTTTGCATCATTGTAAACCCTTGTGCACGTGAACTTTAATACAGTTTCCTCCAAATTCTGCCCGAGTCCCCTGGGGCCTGTAACAGGCTGCCACAGCCCAGCAGAGTGTGGGCACTGGGCACTTCAGGATTTATTAGCCCTGGCCACTGGATTTCCAGTTCTGCTCAAGTTACTTTGTTCAGCACAAAAGCACTTTTGCAAAGGCTCAGCAGAGTCTGAGTTGGGAGATCCCTCTATGGAGGGCTCGCTATAAAAGGCCAAAATATGAAGAACATTTTCTCTCCAGTCACTTAACCCAGCTGGCTTTGAGAAGGGGAAAAAAAAAAAAGGAAGAAAGTGGAGATAATCCTGTCCTGTCACTGGAGTGTCATCCCCCACGGGGAGCTGCCAGCACGAAGGAGGAGGACAGCTTCCTTCACAGGAGTCTTTTATTAAAACTGGGTGACGTCTACAAGGATACAGTACAAAAAAAAAACAAAAAACAAAACAAAAAAAAAGATTTGGTCCATGGAAAAAAACTGTAAATATTCAGTTAAGAAAAGCAGTTACTCTGCAACAGCTACGTTTGCCTACGCAGGACTCGGCACATCCCTCACGTGGGGGTACCCTGAGGAGTCAGGGGCTGCTTCTCCAGCACCAAGCCCTTCACCCCAGTACCACAGAGGAGCGTTTCAGGGGGGCAAAGGAGAGGGGAGGTCGAGAGTCTATTACTCACGGACATGGAGTTACACAGACACGAGGAGCAGCAGGGCCACCGAGGTGCTCCAGCTCACAGCAGCCCCCTCGGCCACCCCGAGGGAGGGCTGGGCAGGAAGGGGATCCTGCAGCCATCCCAAGGGAGTCCAGACCAACTTTCAAGTCCATTTGCGTTGTGGTTCCGAGCAGAAACACTGGGGTTGGGGTGAAGAGGAGCCGTTTGGTGCTCCTGACCACCAGTAATTCATTCCATGAAGAGGCATCGGGGCTGCTACTGCCCACAGTAAATCTATTTGTACATTCCTGAACCATGCTGGGCCCTATGGCAGCCCCATGACCTAAAACTTGACTAAAAACCACAGGAGCTTCGGCATGGAAACACCTGCTGACTCACATATGCTTGGAAAAATGTCCATTCCCAAGGACTGTCCTGTTCCACCCTCGGATCCACACGAGGGAGCCTCTGGTCCCCACAGCAAGTGACACAGGACAACAACTGTCCCCAAAGCAATGAGCCCAGGGCACTGTGTCCATGCACAGCTCCAGGCAGCTGCTGCATCCCCTCTCCCTGCTCCAGGGAAAACAAGCAGCCACGTGGTTTGCTGGGAACCCACGTGTAGGTGTCTGAAGGGCAGAGAGTTGCATCACTCCAAACTTCCAAAGCCCTGCAGGAAGCCAAAACTTCCGTCTCCCTGTGATCCCAGCTCAGGACAGCCCGTCACAGAACACAAAAAGGAACGGACAGGGAAAAAGGGAGAAGGGAAGAAGCAATTCTCTACACAGTCCAGTAACTTCCTCGAGGAGGGGAGTGACCTGTGGGGCAGCCCCAGTGCAGCAGCACCCTCCGAGGAGGGGGGTCAGGGCAGGGAGGTATGTCAGCCCACGGCATCCTGCCCACGACAGCGCCTGGCACGGGCTGTAAAACGTGGCAGGGAAGAGCCCAGCCACACCTTAGAGCAGAGCCAGGCTTCCAGAGTGCCACAGCCCACTGCTGGCTGGGCAGGGACGGGCTGGGAGAGGGCTCCAAGTCAGCTCTGGCTACCGGGGACACTGCGGAGTCACGGGGGGGCTCGTGGGAGCCTCGGGGCTGACAAGGCAACAGTCAGGAAGAGAACCAGGTAGAAATGTGTGCTGGGTGGAGCCTGTCTGCCTGTCACACCCCACGAGAGCCCCGCTGTCCTGGACTTGCCCCCAGCAGGGACAACGCCAGGAGGAGGAACAGGGGCCTCGCTGCTGGAGTGGGATCCTGGGAGCTGGACCAGCGAGCTCTGCAGCTCTGTCTCCACAAACAGCCGTGCTGCTGGGCAGGAGCAGGGCAGCCCTATGTGTTCCTGATGCCCAGGGCCTGCTCCAGTTCCTGCCGTCGCTGCTGCACCTGCAGGAGAAGCCGAGTCTGTAACTGCTGCTGGGACACCACAACGGCACCCAGCTGGCAAAGGCTGGGCTCCAACTGGGACCTTCCCCCTGGGACCTTCACCCCCGAGGAGTGACAGGCAGGGAGAGGGTGCCCTGAGGAGTGACAGGCAGGGAGAGGGTGCCCCGAGGAGTGACAGGCAGGGAGAGGGACCCCTGCTCAGGGACACCCACCTTGGAGTAGAAGTACCGGCACACGGCCTCCTGCGCCCAGGGCTGGAAGTAGAACTCGGCTCTCCGCTCCTCCTCGGGGTTCCCAACAACATCAGTCATTGTCTGCAGAGCACAAAGGGACACGACAGCAGCTCAGGGAGTGCAAAAAGCTCTGGCTGTGCCGAGCAGACCCTCCCCTTTCCTCTCAGAGCGCTCAGGTCACGTTCCTGTGCTCGACTCCAATTCCAGTCTTGCTTTCCAAGCAGGAAATTGCCTCTCTCTCTCCCTGCAGGAGCTCGCTGTAATGAGGGGAGCGTGTGACTGGATCCACCTTCCACACAAGACAAAGCTTTTTACCTTCAAGTCCCGGCACTGGGACTGCAGCCAGTCGTTGATGAAGCCCTGAGGGTCCCGGGCGAAGCTCAGCATGAACTCGCGCTGAGTCTTCAGCTGGTTGATGGTCTCGATGGTTTCGTGGATCTGAAGGGCACAAACACAAGAGTAGAGCTGCTGAATGAGGGAAAGGTCACAAACATCAAGAGGCACAACACAAGAGGGCAAATTCTGGCTCACTTACACCTGTCAGAGGACTCTCAGTTCCCAATTTCCTGCCCTAAATATTCCCCAATTTTCCCACGGAGCGTTTGCTTTAAGATTTACACTCCCGGGTGCAGCCACAAGTTTGTAAGCACAGCTCACCCCACTCCAGCTTCCAAACACTCCTGTCCTGTCCAGCTTCACCTGCTCCAGAGACACTTCCCTGCCCAGCTCCAAGCAGAGCAGACCCCAAAAAGCTTTTCCTACCTTGTTATCCAGAGCAGCGATTTCCTGCTGACTGGCTGTGGAGAGCAGAAAGGAATTCATCTGGGTTTTCAAAGTGTCATCCACCTCCACATCAATGTCATAGCAGGCTGTTTTCTTCTGGTCATTTGGGTCAACACTGGGGGACATCCACAAAAAGGCAGAATCAGGGAGCAGCTCAAGAAAGGAGCCAAAATGAGTTAGTAGGTCAAGAAAAAAGGCAAAATCTGGGAGGAGTCCAAATGGAAGTAGCTCAAGGAGCAAACGCAGCTCCTCTGGGATGCTGCAGCATGTGGACTGCAGGCAGGGACAGGGACAAGCTGTGCCAGTGTCAGCCTCAGTCCCAGCAGCAGCAAAGCACTAGGAGTGATTGCTCCAGGCAGGTTTCTGTCCATGGCAAAGGACAGCGTGGATGTGGGAAAGCCTCTGGAAAAGAGGGATGTGGTAACAGAGGACGTGGTAACAAACAGATGACAGGTTAACACGGGAGCTGCTGCTAAAACCAGGATGTATCACACCATCCTCCTGTGATCCTTCCCCATCCAGCCCTTCCTGGGAACGGGAATTCCCGTGGAGCAGCCTCACCTGATCACGTGGTTGATGATGATGGGCTCGGGGGGCATCAGCAGCGCGTGGAGCCTCTGTGGGATTTCGGAGAACTTCATGCGCTGGGACTCGAAGATCTGGGGCAGAGACAGGGGCTGAGGGAGGGCTGGGGGGGCTCAGGGCAGCCCACCCACCCTCCGCCCACCCCACCCAGGGCAGCTGGGCCAGGAGCTGCTCCGGGGCCCCCTCACCTGCTGCAGGTACTTGTCACAGATGACGAACTCCCGCTCGTGGGGGTCCTGCAGCTTGTGGGTCTTGATGTACTGCCAGAGGGCCTGGATGATGACGGGCCGGGTCTGCGTGTGGATCCCCAGCAGCCGAGCCAGGCGGGGGTCCAGCTTGAACTGGGGGGGCTGCATGAGGAGCACGGAGGGCTGAGATGGTGCCAGGCACTGGTGAGATGGTGCCCGGCACCGCTGCTCCCAGCACGGAACCGTGGAACAGTCTGGGTTGGAAGGGACCTTAAAGCCCACCCAGCCCCACCCCTGACACCTTCCGCTGCACCAGGATGCTCCAACCCGGCCTTGGGCACTTTCCAGGGATCCAAGGGCAGCCACAGCTTCTCTGGGCAACCTCAGGGCCTCCCCACGCTTCCAGGGGGGAATTTTTTCCTCCTGCCTCACCTGGTAATCCAGCATCAGCAGCACAGTGCAGCGCACGTTCACGTCCCCCGGCCTCTTCACCTGGAAGCCGTCTGTCTCCTGAGTCGTGGCAGTCCTGTGCCACTGGGACAGGAGAGGGAATTCAGAAACACCCCCCCACGTGTGGTGCCTCCCCCTGCACCCCCTCTGCTCCCGCTGCTGGGCACCCAGAAGCTTTGCCAGTAAATCCCACCCGCCCAGAGAAAGCTCAGATTATTCCCACTTATGGCTTGAAACGAGAGTTAATACGTTTATCAGACCCTCAGCAGGTGAGAGGAAAAGCTTAAGGGAGGATTCAAAGAGCTTTTGACTCGAGGATCCCCCACCTCCCAGGTCACAAGTGCTACACACAAAACCCCACCAGCTGAAACACCAACCCACGTTCAGAGATAAGACAGCAAAAAGCAGCTCACCTCTACTAGGTGATTGTCAGGGCCATACAGGTCTTTATCAAGTTCAATGACCAGAGATTTAAAGAAGGATGAGAACTTTCTTTTCTGCTTGGTGGCATCGTATTTGGACAGAGCAGACTGCAAGCAACACAGGGAGGAAGAGGGGTTAGGACAGCAAGTCTCAGCACTCAGAGCACAGCCCACCGTGCACGACAGCTCCTGTGTAAGATCTGAACACCTGAATTCACCCACATGGGCTCGAAAAAAATCAAAGTTTCCAAGTCAGAAGAAGGGGAAAGGCTGGAGTTAGAGACGAGCTGGCGGGAGCGAAACCCCTCGGCGGGTACGTACAGTGCCCTGGTTCTCAGAGCTTTGGGGACACTGAGCTGCTCTCACCAGGGATTCTCCCAGCTCTAAGAACTTTGGACAACTCATTGTCCTGCCATGGGGATACCCATCGGTCTCCAGGCTGGGCTCTCGGTCTCGTCACCACCAGACTCCTTGGAAAACAGAGACGGGAGGAGGAGATCAAGCCCCAGCTGCGCTCTCAGACGCTAAGAAACTTGGTTTCAGTGCCAATTCCAGAGTCTCCTCTGAGGTGGGGTGTTTGCCACTTACGTCCTCCAGCAGCCTCCCTTCCACCCGCAGCTCCCAGGAGGCCACGGTCCCCTCGCCGTCCTCGGCGTCCGACTTGGCCGGGTTGAAGGTGTTGGAGATGAAAATGCGCAGCTTCCGCTTTTGCTGCCAGGGAAAAGCCTCGGCTCAGCCTCAGCTCTCACCTCCAGGGCTCCCTCCTCCTGCTCAGGCCTTGCTAAAACTCAGCTCAATGTTTCAGCTGCCTCATTCTTCCCCCTCTCCTGAGTGGCTGCTCCCACTCCCTGGCTGTGCCCAGCAGGTTCCCGACATTCCACACTCCCAGGACACGACCCCTCAGTGCCCTCCCGCTGCCCGGAGCCTCCAGGAGCCTCCACCCCCCTGGATATTTGCCCTGCACTCCCCTACCTTGATGGGACGTTTCAGAGCCTCCTGGATATCCAAGCGCTTCCTCATGATGGTCTGGTCCAGTTTCCTCTCGAAGGCCAACAGGTCCATGTAGGCTTGGGATTCGGGCACCAGCTCCCGGATCTGCAGCCAGGCAAGGGTGGAAATTCCCATCAAGCAGCTCCCCCAAAGTGCCCAAGGCTCCTTTACCTCCCCCTGGCTCCCACTCACCCGCTGAGGGAGGATTTTGTCTGCCATCTTCTTCTTCTTGGCGCTGCCGGGGGAAGAGGCACAAACAGGTGGGAAAACGGGAACGGATCTGGCCACGGGAATTCCCAAACCAGCAGGGACTCACCAGTTACCTGAGCCTGCCCCAGTGGGGCTGACCAGTTACCTGAGCCCTGCAGCACTGACTAACTGCTGACCTCAAGGTTTGCCATCCCTCCCAGCACTTGGAAAGGGGGTTACATCCCTTGGAAAGGGGGTTATATCCTTCAGAAAGGGGGTTACATCCTTTGGAAAGGGGGTTATATCCTTCAGAAAGGGGGTTACATCCCTTGGAAAGGGGGTTACATCCCTTGGAAAGGGGGTTATATCCTTCAGAAAGGGGGTTACATCCTTTGGAAAGGGGGTTACATCCCTTGGAAAGGGGGTTATATCCTTCAGAAAGGGGGTTACATCCTTTGGAAAGGGGGTTACATCCCTTGGAAAGGGGGTTACATCCGATGCCCCGGGGTGCCCATCATGCCTGGGCCCATGTACCCAGTAGCCTCGGGATGTCCCCACTGCCCCAGGATGGTCTCAGGATGCCCAGGGATGTCCTGGGATGTCCCCTCTGCCCGCAGATGTCCCCACTGTCCCAAGAATGCTCTGTGACGTCCCTCCTGCCACAGGATGTCCCCACCGCCCCGGGGATGCCCTGAGATGTCCCTGGATATCCCAGCTGCCCAGGGATGTCCTGGGATGTCCCTGCCGCCCGGGGATGCCTCAGGATGCCCTGGGATGTCCCCTGTGCCCACAGATGTCCCCACTGCTCCAAGAATACTCCGGGATGCCCCTGCTGCCCTGGGATGTCCCGAGGTGTCCCAGCTGTCCCAGGATGTCCCAGCCGCCCGGGGATGCTCCCAGTGCCCCAGGATGCCCCCAGGATGCTCCCGGGATGTGCCCATACCCCGAGACGCCCCGTTTCCCCCCCGTCCCTTACTTGTGGTTGCGGTTGGGCACCGCCTGCGGCTGCACCTGCTGGAGCTGCTGCGGCGCCGGCCGCTTGCGGGCCTGGTCCAGCCCGGCCTGCGCCAGCGCGGGCCGCACCGCGGGGCTCCCGCCGTAGCCGGGCGGGCCCATGGCCGGGCCCTGCGGCGCCAGGCGGCCTCCCGGTAACATCCCGGGGCGCTGCGGAGAGAACACACCCGGTCAGCGCCCGCCGCGCCCGGCCCCGCGCCCCGCCCCGCGCCGCCCCGCCTCACCGGGTAGGCGGCTCCGGGTAGCGGCGAGCGGTACAGGCCCTGCCCAGGCGCCGGGCCCATGCGAACCGCCCCGCCCGGCGCGCCCGGGCCCAGTGCGGTCCCCGGAGCGGCGCCGCCGCCGCCGCCGCTCGCGGGCCCCGCCTGGAACCCGGCCCGCGCCGCCATCTTGTCCCGCACAAAGGGAGCGGAGCCGGAAACGGGCCCGCGCGCCGCGAGCGAGAACGCGGGGAGGGGCCGCCCCCCAGCCCCGCCCTCCGCTGGCGGCGCCCCCTGGCGGTGGGGAGGACCGCGGGGAGGACCGAGGGCGAGGGGATTTTGGAAGGGGGGCGTTGAGGGGGGATTGGGGGGGGGGGGGGGGGGATTGGGGATTTGGGGGGGATTGGGGTGTGAGGAGGGGATTGGGGGTATGAGGAGGAGTGGGGAGGGAATTGGGATTGGGGAAGGATTGAGGTGTGAGGGGAGGGAATCAAGGTATGAGGGGGGATTGGGGGTGTTGGTCCTGCGGGATTTGGGATGGGAACAGGGTCTGTGAGGGGTGGGATTGGGGGTGTTGGTCCTGCAGGATTTGGGATGGGAACAGGTGTTTGAGTTTGGGGGCACAGGATCCAGAGGGATTTGGGAATGGGAACAGGGTCTGTGAAGGATGGGATTGAGGGTGGTTTTCCTGGGGGCTCAGAGTCTGTCCCTGAGGGATGAAGGGCTCCAACATCCAAACATGGCAGGGACATCTCTCAGCATTCCAGGAGGCACAAATGGCCATTCCCATCTCCCCAGGGTCCCACAGGGAGCTCCATGGGAAAGGGAAAGGCCACTTTCTGCAAGTATTAACATTAAGCTCCCATTCCCTGGAGCTCAGAGAGAAAAGGGACACAAACCCACAGCACATTAATTAAACAATTAGTGATGATCAGTTGATGAGGGCTGACTCCAGCTCGGGGGGGTCCCAGCACAGGGAGGACGTGGAGCTGCTGGGGCCAGTCCAGAGATGCTCCAAGAGGATCAGAGGGATGGAGCAGGAAGGAAAAGCTGGAGAATTGGGATTGTTCAGCCTGGAGAAGGGAAGGCTTTGAGGTGACCTCACTGTGGCCTTCCAGGACCTGAAAGGAACCTGCAGGAAAGGGGGAGAGAGATTATTTCCAAGGGAGTACCAGGACAAGGGGGAATGGCTTCAAACTGACAGGGAACAGGGTTAGATGGGATATTGGGAAGGAATTCCTCCCTGGGAGGGTGGGGAGGCCCTGGCACAGTTTCCCAGAGAAGCTGTGGCTGCCCCATCCCTGGGAGTGTCCAAGGGGAGGTTGGACAGGGCTGCCCCTGCCTCGGGAATGTGCTGAGCAGGGAACAGGCAGGGGCAGCTCTGGCTGCAGTTAATGGGGTTCATTAACACCCTCCTGGGCTTCTCTCCTCCTGCTCCCATTCAAATCCCACCCCGTGGCCTTTGCAGCTCCAGCTCGGGCCAGGAGGGATCAGAGCTTTGTTCTGCTTGAAATGCAAAACACTCCTCTGCCATTTCCAGGAGCCACGGGGACAGGAGCGGAGCCAAGGGACTGGGAGGGGTTGGCATTTCAGCGTTCCCTGCCCACTCCCACTCCCTGTTATTCCAACTCCACGGGGTCCTGGGGGCCTTTGTGGATGCCCAGGCTTTGGTCTGGCCCGTTGTCACTTCTGCTCTTTGAAGCTGGGAGTTTTTAGGACACTGAGTGTGTTCCTGTAGGGGTTGTGCTCCAAGTGCCACTGCCGGGGTTAACCCGGGTGAAATTCCAGCTGGTGGCTCCTGCTGGATCCCAAACCACGGAGCTGTTGGAGTTGTCAGGGATTAACAGCTCTGTGTGTGTGTGTTAATTCACCTGCCTGTGCTGGAGAGGACACCTCAGCTCCCTCCCTCCAGCCCTGTGTCCCTTGGGATGAGCTCCCATGGCAGGGACAGGTCCTGGAGCTCACTGAGGTGCCCACATCCCTTGGGATGAGTTCCCATAGCAGGACAGGTCCTGGCAGCAATATTGGAGCTCACTGAGGTGCCCATATCCCTCGGGATGAGTTCCCATGGCATGACAGGTCCTGGCAGAGAGGTTGGAGCTCACTGAGGTGCCCACATCCCTTGGGATGAGTTCCCATGGCAGGACAGGTCCTGGAGCTCACTGAGGTGCCCATATCCCTTAGGATGAGCTCCCATGGCAGGACAGGTCCTGGCAGAGAGGTTGGAGCTCACTGAGGCACCCGGAGCAAGGGCCACGTTATCCCAGCTCCCAGCAAAGGGAGTTTAACAGAGCTCAGCTCAGCCCCAGCTCCAAAGTGGGGGATTTTCTGCACACCTCAGGCAGCACTAAAGCCCAGCCCAAAGCTTTGTCCTCCCTTTCTCTCGGCTCCAGGATTTCCAGGAACATCCCAGGATGAGCCCATTTTCCCCCTCAGCTCCTCAGGGATCACTTCCAGCAGCTCAGCAAGAGAAAGGCTCGGCCTGGTGGGGGTTTATATCATTTATATCATTCTTTATATCATCGTTAAGAGTAGCAGGTATTGATGTACAATGCATCTGTCATCTTATTGTGCTTCCTATGAAAATGTGTGTACATAGTACAGATACCGGAGAGAATTCCACACTTTATACACTTTTGAAGGCATTCAGAGATTCAGAAAAAAGAAAAAAAAAAAGAAAAAAAATTAATAAAATGGCACAAGAACGAGGCCTAAATGCTACTTGGATGGGTATCTACACTGGCATGATGCATATAGAGGTATATATATATATGTACACATATATATATAGTCATATATATTATATATAAGAAATATAAAATGCGGATGGCGTAATAACAAAAGAGTGTCTTCTCCAACAGGCGAGCCTCGAGGTCAAATCCCAGCCCCATCTTTTAACAGCTCGAAGGGGGGGAAGAAAAGAGGGGAGGAAGAAAGCAAATAAATAAATGAAATGCCAGGGGAAAAAAAAAAATCCATAAGAAAATTTATGGATGCGGCCGACCCGTTGTCTTTGGGACGCAAAGGGGTCACCCCCGTCTCCCCCCCCCCCAGTTCCTAATTTTGGTCAGGAAGCTAATAATAGGAATAAAAAATAAAATGGCAGGAATAAAAAAAAATAAATAAATGGCGGGAATAAAAAAAAAAATGGCAGGAATCAAAAAAACCCCCGAAGCTGCAGCTTGGAAATAAAAAAATTACTGAACAGACTTATTGCAAAAGCTCTTAAAGGTTTAAGTAGCACTTGGGCCCCGGGGGGGGGGGCTCTGGCCTGGGCTGGGGGCTGAGGGGGGGCCAAGTGCAGACCCCAGAGCGAAGTGAGGGAGCTGGAGGGGTCAGAGGGGGGGCAGAGACCCCCAGACCCCCCCCAGGAGGGGCAGTGAGGCCACAGACACCCCAAAAATCCCCTGGGCAGCTGAGTTTGGGGGGCTCAGGGGGTGGGAGCTGCTCCTGGGACCAGCCTGTGAGCCCTGGTGGTGTTGGGGCTCCGGTGCCCACCCGGTGCCAAGGGGGTGTCCCTCTAAATAGGGGCCAGGGGGTTCCTTTCCCCCTTTCTCCCTGGGCAGGGCTGGTTCTGGGGGGCTGCCCGGGGTGCCCTGGGAGTGGGGAGGGTTGGCAGGACAGGGCTGGCACTGCCCAGAACCCGGGAAAAGGGGCAAGGTGGGCTCAGCATCGCCCGGGCTGGGGGTCCACAGAGCCATTGGGGGCACCCCCCGAGTCCCCCCCGGTGCCCCCAGGGGCTGATCCCGGGGCGGGTGCCAAGGAAAATGTTCTGGAGAGGGGGAGCTGCTGCGTCCTGGTGTTCGTGGAGCGCCCGGGTCGGGGTGGGCACCGGTCCTGGGGGGGGACACTGAGGCTCTCTGGGGACCCCCCCAGCCAAGCCCTGGGACCCCTCCACAAAAATCCCCCCCCCAGGCACGGGGGATCCGAGGCGTGGGGAGCGGGATGGGCATGGAGACGCTGGCGGACAGACGGACAGGGCTGTGGATGGAGACCACCTTCCTCTTCTTCTTCTTCTTCTTCTTCTTCTTGGCTTCTGGGTTTGGAGTTAAAAAGGCCGAGGGGATCCGGGGTGGGGTTGGGGGGCCGGGGCTGGCCCTGCCCCGTCCCCTGTGCGTGTGTGTGTCGTCCCTCGAGTCTCTGAGCGAGCGGGGCGGGCGCGGGGGCATCGCCCCGACCCGGGGGCATCGCCCCGACCCGGCTGCCCTGCCCTGCCCCGCCGGGGCGAGGCCGTCGCTCCTGTGTGTCCGTGTGTCCCTCGGTGCCGAGGAGGGAGCGAGGGAGGGCCCCGGGGGGCCGTGTGTCCCCCCCACCTCCGGGGGAAGGGGCAGCTCCACCACGCAGGGCTTTGGTAGCTCAGGTTGTACATCCAGTGACGTCGGGTTAGCAGGTGAAGTCCTCGAAGGTGCCCCGGGCCGGGTGGTGAGGTAGGATGTTGGCCGCGTACGTCATCCCTGCAGGGTGCCCCCGTATGCTCTCGCAGGGGTTCTGTGGGGTAACGGGGTGTTGGGGTCATTGGTTTTGCCCAAACCCCCGCAGAGAGCGAGCCCTGGCTCCCCACAGCACATGGGACTGGTCCCGCTGCTCCTTCCCCAGGTGCTTCTAGAGTTGGGACCTCCCATCCCATGGCACCTCCCAGGCAGCCCCAAAACAGTGACCCCATGAAACCTCCTGGGCAGCCCCAAAACAGTGACCCGACACCCAGGGGCTCCTTCCAGGCAGCCCCCGAGTTTCAGGGAGACCCATCAGCCCCAGGGGTGTCCCCAGCAGCCCCCAGGTGCCCCATCAGCCCCCGGGGTGTCCCCATCAGCCCCCAGGGTGTCCCCAACACTCACGTGGCGCTTCACGTCGTCCATGCTCAGCGCGACGCCCTTGTCCGTGTTGTTCCTCTTGTGGTTCTTGCGGCACTTGCCCCTCCGGCACAGCCGGTGCTTTATCACCTGCCAGGGCCACATTATTCAGCCCCTCTGAGGCTCAGGGGCTGAGCCCTTCCCCACACCCCAAACAGTGACCCCACAACCTCCTGGGCAGCCCCAAAACAGTGACCCCACACCCAGGGGCTCCTCCCAGGCAGCTCCAAAACAGTGACCCCACACCCTGCAGTACCTCTCAGGCAGCCCCAAAACAGTGACCTCACACATCACAGTACCTCCTGGGCAGCCCCAAAACAGTGACCCCACACCCCAAACGGGGCTCTGGGGTAACCCCTCGGCGGGGTGGGGGCGAGGGGGACGCTCACCTCGTAGGCGTAGTCGAAGAGCTCGAGCACGGTGAGGATGCTGGCCCCGATGAAGAGCCCCATCTGCCCTCCGATGTCACCTGCGGGGGACAGGGAAGCCGTCAGGGCAGCCTGAGCCTGGAGCCCGGGGGCAGAGGGAGCGGGGAGAGGGCACAGAACTCATCACAGCCACAGTGTGTCCTGCTCCTCGTCCCAACGCCTCGGGAACGGGGCCGTGGCGACGGGGCCAACGCGAGGCCACCTCGCTGTGGGAGGCACCGGCCCAGCCCGCCCATCGCTCACCCAGCAAACCGGCCACCTCGTAGGCCTTCTTCTGCTCGATGGTCTCGTAGTTCAGGGCCTCGAAGAAGATGTCCAGCACCAGGATGTTCTCCCTGCGCAGGGCACAAAGTGGCACCGGGCTGAGGGTCTGGGAGGGAGCGGCAGCGGGTGCCACCCCTCCGCCACGGCCACGTTACCCGATGTACTGCTCCGACTTGTTGTACTTCTTGGCCAGGTACTTGGCCGAGGCCTTGCTGGGGATCTTGACCATGGAGAGCTCTTTGCCGTAGCGGGTCATGTTGCAGGGCATGTCGCAGAGGCAGTACTCGTTGTCCTTCTCCACCAGGAAATCTGGGAAGGGGGAGAGAGGAGTTTGGAGGCCTGGAGAAACCCAACGCCCACAGCTCCCTCCCTCCCTCCCTCCCGATCCTCACCTAAGGCCGGGTCCGCGCACTCCTTGTACTGCTCGGGGGTGCAGTACGGGGCGTCACCTGTGGAGACACACAGCGGGTTTTTCCACGTGGGATCAACCAACCCCTCGTGGGCAGAGCTGGTGGGGGGGTTGGCCCCGGCTGGGGGGGGCTCACCTGGCATGTGAACCATGCGGCAGTTGCAGTTCTCCACCAGGTAGCGGGTCTCGCAGTCGATCCGGCAGGCCGTGATGCTGTACGTGTCGTAGAACTCCAGGTCGCCCGCCACGGCCTTGCAGTCGCCCCAGGGAGGGGGAAGGTAGATGAGCTGGGAGGGGGCAGAAGGAAGGATGTTGAGGGGCTGGAGCAGGTCCAGAGGAGAGCAACGAGGCTGGGGAAGGGACTGGAGCACAAGTGCTGTGAGGAGAGGCTGAGGGAGCTGGGGGGGCTCAGCCTGGAGAAGAGGAGGCTCAGGGGAGACCTCCTCACTCTCTGCAACTCCCTGACAGGAGGGGGGAGCCGGGGGGGGTTGGTCTCTTTTCCCATCAGCAAGACAAGAGGGCTCGGGCTTCAGCTGTGCCAGGGGAGGGTTAGGTTGGAGATTGGGAAGAATTTCTTTGCAGAGGGTGCTCAGCCATTGGAATGGGCTGCCCAGGGAGGGGGTGGATTCTCCATCCCTGGAGGTGTTTAAGGACAGACCGGATGTGGCATCAGTGCCATGGGCTGGGAACCACGGCGGGGTTGGATCAAGGGTTGGACTGGATGATCTCAGAGGTCCCTTCCAACCCAGCTGATTCCATGATTCTATGATTCTAAGGCCCCCGGGGCCTCCAGCATGGTGGGGAAAGACACTCGTGGCATCACACCCCAGGGTCAGGTCCCCTCTCCACCCAACAGGGAGGAGGCTCCATGTCAGGAGGGACCCCCCTGGTCCCCCCCCAAGCCCTACCCGCTGCTCCTGGCAGGACACGAAGGTCTGGAAGCCGGGGGCCACCCCGAAGCCCAGCTGGTCGATCAGGGGGGGCTCGTCCTGGCTGTGGATCTGCACCTTGATCCCGGCTTCGAACGAGGTCTCATCTGCAGCAGAGAGAGGGAGGGATGAGCCGGGCACCGGCCCTGCTCCCAAAACTTCTGCCTCCCACTCTCCCCCCTCCCCTCGGGGCCAGTTGGTCCCTCCACATGTCCGTCCATCTGTCTGCTGTCCCTCCAACCTGTTTGCTGCACCCCCTCCGCCCCTGACCCTCCTGCTCTCGGCACCGGGAGCGCGGCAGGGAAGTGTTTTGCCTCTATTTATAAACAAGGGACGGCTGCGTGTCTAAACCAGCGGGGGAGTTGCCATGGCGAGGAGCAAAGACAAAGGAGGGGAAGGCAGAGGGAAAGAAAGGACCCGAAGTGGCGAGAGATGGAAGGAGGGAAGAGGAGGGAGCCTCAGGGGGGTGGGAGCTGGGAAGGGGCCGGGGAGCATCCTGGGAGCTGCTGGTGACCTGCCGGGGCTGTGGGTTACCTGTTTCCCCCCACACCGGCAGGTACTCGTCCTGCTGGATGTCCAGCATGATCTCCAGGCCGTTGCCAGTGCCCCCCTTCATGGTGATGAGCCGGGGCTTCCCGTCCTGCCCCGCGTTGAAGGTGTAGCACTTCCCGTAGCGGGTGAAGACCTGCGGGAGAGGAGGACACGGGGCTGAGGCCAAGGCCCCTCTGTGGAGCCACAGCAGGGAGCCAGGAGGGCATCACCAGCCCCAGGACACGGCCACCCCCAGGACACAGCCACCCCCAGGACACAGTCACCCCCAGGACACAGCCACCTCCAGGACACAGCCACCTCCAGGACACAGCCACCCCCAGGACACAACCATGCCCAGGACACAGCCACCCCCAGCCTGGGCACAGCCCCATCCAGGCTCCTGACCCCCGGGGGTCTCTCGGTGTTGGAACTGAGATCCCAGTGTTGGAACTTGGCCCGGGCAGAGGAGGAGATGTTCCACTGAGGCTCAGGGATGGACTCGGAGGAGACGTTGCAGACCTACAAAGCCCAGGGCAGCCCCGGCCCCCCGAGGTGGGACACTCAGCCCTACACCTCCAAGGGATGGGGCTGGATGGGATCCTGGACCCCCCTGTCCCTCCTCGGCCCTTCCAGCTGCCACAATTCCAGCCAGGGGCACGGGAGGGCAGCGGGCTCAGAGCACCAGGACAGAGGTGCCCGGCACCTCCTCCATGAGCACGGCCCCGGGGCTGCTCTCTCTGTGTCCCACCGGCAGCTCTCCAGGGCTGGGGCTGAGATATCAGCTCCAAGGGCAGCATTCCCAGCCATTCCTGGTCCCACACGCTGCTCCAAGGGCAGCATTCCCAGGTGCTCCTGGTCCCACATGGTGCTCCAAGGGCAGCATTCCCAGCCATGCCCTGTCCCACACAGTGCTCCAAGGGCAGCATTCCCAGCCATTCCTGGTCCCACACAGTGCTCCAAGGGCAGCATTCCCAGCCATGCCCGGTCCCACATGGTGCTCCAAGGGCTGTGCCTGGTCCCACACGCTGCTCCAAGGGCAGCATTCCCAGCCGCTCCTGGTCCCACACGCTGCTCCAAGGGCTGCTCCTGGTCCCACACGGTGCTCCCAGGGCAGCATTCCCAGCTGTACCCAATCCCACACGCTGCTCCAAGGGCAGCATTCCCAGCTGCTCCTGGTCCCACCCGGTGCTCCAGGGGCAGCATCCCCTGCTGCCAGACCTGGTCCCACACGGTGCCCACCCGTGCGGGGCCACCCTGGGGCTACTCACCGGGGCGAAGTCGGCGGGGCCGCAGCGCCGGCCGCGGTAGCGGCAGCTCAGCAGCATGTCCTCCAGCCGGTGGCAAGTGCGGTTAAAAAACCCAAACAGATTGAGGGGCTCCTCCTCCTCATCCTCCTCCTCCTCCTCCTCCCAGGGGCCGGGCGGGGCCGGGGCAAAGCCCAGCTCCGTGCCAAAGCCCAGCTCCGTGCCAAAGCCCAGCTCCGCAGTGCCGGGCTCGTAGCTGACCAGCGGTGCCAGGTAGAGCAGGTCCCGCCGGCTGAGCTGCGAGAGCCGCACGCGGTTGACGTTGCAGAAGGTGACGGCGGGGAAGGTCATCTGGGGGCTCTGCTCCTCGCGGAGCAGCGTGACGTGCTGGTGCTCCAGGTAGCAGGCGACGCGGTCGCCCACCTGGTAGAGGAAGGCCGAGAGGGAGAGGAGGAAGGCCAGCGCCCAGAGCACCTGCCGGGCACCCAGCCCGCCCTCCACGAAGATGTGGCTCAGCCCGTGCAAGGTGCAGCTGCTGGCGAAGGCCACCAAGTCTGTGGCTGCCCCTGCGTCCTCCTCCTCCTCCTTCTCTTCATCCTCCTCCTGCCCGTACAGGAACTCGTCCGCTCCGTCTTCGCCCTTCCCGGTGTCCGTGGTGTCCTCAGGCCCTTCCTCACTGGAGAAGGAGATGGTGCAGAATATCTGGAGAGGCATTGCCCACTCTGGGGGGGCCCAGCTCTGGAGAGGGGGGTCCTGGCCCCCGTCCAGCCACAGCCTGGGGGTCTTCGGTGCTGGGTCGGTTCCTCGGGGCGCGGGTGAGAGGGGCAGGGAAGGAGGGAGAGCCAAGGGGCGAGTTCAGAGAGGAGAAACGGAGAAGGGAAGAGGAGCGAGAGGCGAGCAGGAGGGAGGGAGGGAGGGAGAGGAGCAGAGGGATGCTCGGAGGGGACGGAGAGAGGAGGGTATAAGAGGAGCAGGAGCAGGGGAGGAGGAGCGAGGGGCGGTTCTGCAGGCTCCCCACGTCCCCCGGGACCAGGACGGAGCGGAGGCACCACCGGCTCCAGGAGCACCTCGGGAGCTCCCGGGGCTGCCCAGGGGGGTGCCAGGCCCTGGGAACACGAGGGGTTGTGTGCAGGTCCCCTCTGTACCGTGTCCCCATGCCGTGTCCTCCGCCCTCCCTGAGTGGCCCGGCCCTGGCAGCCCGAGTGGCTGCTCCAGCCAGTGCTCCCTGCTGGGTCCAGGCTGTCTCTGGAGCTGCCATATGCCGGGCTCTGAGAGCTCCTCCTCGGGGCAGCAGGAGCCAGAGGTTTTCCCAAAATGCAGAGCAGAAGGATGGAGGGGTCCCTGAGCTCTCTCGGTGCTCATCCTGCCCTGGCAGGACTCGTCCCCGTGGGCTCATCCCCCTCCCTGTGCATCCAGCAAATCCGACATTCCAAGCGGTCTCAGGGCCGTCCTCCTCCAGGTAGGGATGGTTTTGGAGGGATTTGGGTGTTGTTCCAGTCGTGGCTCCTCCTGCAGAGCCCAGTCAGTGCCGGGTGTGCCACCTTGTGCTTTGGATCCCAGCTGGGCACAGGGAGCCACTGGTTCCCTCAGGGAATGGCGTCCAGGCCTCGTGCTGGGAATCCTGGAGGGCAGCACCTCTGCAGGGTGGTGGGATGGAGCTGGTGGCCAGGCTGGGAATTCCAGAGGGCAGCCCTGGTCCAGGATGGTGGGATGGAGAAGGCTGGGCTGGGGGTCCTGGAGAGCAGCTCCTTTGCAGGATGCTGGGATGGAGCTGGTGGCCAGACTGGGAATTCCAGAGAACAGTCCTGGTCCAGGATGGTGGGATGAAGCTGGTGGCCAGGCTGGGAATCCTGGAGAGCAGCTCCTTTTCAGGATGCTCGGATGGAGAAGGCTGATCTGGGAATCCTGGAGAGCAGCCCCTCTGCAGGGTGCTGAGATGGAGCCTCCATCAAGGCTGCCTGCCGGGATCTCGGGCGTCTCCTCCCTGCAGCGGCGCGGCCCCTTCTCGTGGTTTTTGCTGTTTTCCTGCACTCAGCACTTGGTAAAAGCATCCAGAGACCACAGAACCACCTCCAGCCCTGCCAGCGCCAGCCCAGGGGGGAAGGGGAGCATCAGCAGCACTGGGATGTGCAGGGGCTGGGAGGGAGGTTCTGGTTCGTGCCTGGGTGGGATGAGCTCACCCCAAACCCCCAGTTTGGCTGCTGCCCCTCCTTCCCTGCACACACCACGAACCCTGAGCACATCCCAGCACAGGGGGACACAACAAACAGGGTGGACAAATCCACCAGGAGAGGGTACAGATCTGTACAATGCACAGTTCCCTGCAATTCCTGAGCTGGTGACGCCGGTGGGACGGGCAGGACACGGTGGGGACCCTGCTGGGGGTGACCGAGGGTGTGACAGCGGCTTGTCCCTTCCCAATGCTCCCTGAGCTCGATATTCCCAACAGGGAATGTGTAAGAGGGATGCTGCCACATCCCACAAAGCTCAGGGACCTGGGAGAAAGGGTGGGTGACCTTGGGGATGAGAGCCAGAGCCGTGGGATGAAATTTCATCGAGCCCAGAGCAAGGTCATCCCTCCTGGGAGCAGCTCCGAGAGCCTGAGCTGGAAAATCCTCCCAGGAAAGGGGGCCAGGGAGGCGGATTGGGGAGCTGGGAGCCACCAGGACGTAGGGGTCAGGTCACAACCTGGGCTCTGAAGGCAGCAGGGATCCTCCTGGGATGGGGAGTGGGATCACTGGACTGGCTCAGCCCTGTGGGAACAGGCTGGGAGCGAGCTGGGCTGATCCCACACCGAGCTGGGCTGATCCCACACCGAGCAGAGCCGGGGATGCTCTCGGCAGGGAGGAGCAGGGAGGAGCTGGGATGGGGGGTTCTGGAGCTCCCCAGCTCCGGGACAGGGTTTCTGTGCCGTGGCTGCAGGAGGGAGAGGGGAAGGGAAGCAGGATTTCAGGCTGAGGGGGGTTGTTTGGCCCTGGCAGGGCACGGACAGGAGAGTTCTGCTGCCGGTGCCAGCGAGGGGCTGATCCCACCCCTTGGCACGGGGAAGGTTTGATGTGTCTCCTCGGGAGCGATTGCAGCAGGGAGAGAGAGGGAGGGAGGGAGAGGGAGAGAGAGAGATGCTGTAATGAAAACGTTCCATCATCGACTGGGGCCATTAACCTGCCTCGCTCGGCTCAAAGAGCTCTCGGGGAGCGCCGGGGCCGGTTCCCGGCAGCCGCTCGGGGCCGGGGGGGGGGGACGAGCCGGGCCCGGCTCCGGTTACACCCCCTGCCCCATCCCCGGCTCCGGTTACACCCCCTGTCCCATCCCCGCGGCGTGAAGGTGACCGGTGACATCCCCAGCCCCGCACCGGCTCCAAGGGGAGCGTGTCCCGACCCCGCGGCCGGGGCAGAGCGGGCAGGGCGCTGCCGTCCCCCTTTTTTTGTGTGCTCGAGTTTTGGGGAGATGCTGGAGGAGTCCCTTGGGCTCGTTCCAGCTCCTCCCCCTCCCGGGAGTTATTTTTACCCTCTCTCAGGTGAAAGCTTTTGGCGGGGGCGAGGGACGGGGGATGTTTAGAATTAACCGTGACATCAACCCCCGTGGAGGGGCCGCCGCTGGCACTGGGGATGGGATGGGATGGGATGGGATGGGATGGGATGGGATGGGGGGACAGAGATGGGATGGGATGGAGGACAGGGATGAGATGAGGGGACAGGGATGGGATGGGGGGACAGGGATGCAGGATGGGGGGACAGGGATGTGGGATGGGGGGACAGAGATGGGATGGGGGGACAGGGATGGGATGGAGGGACAGGGATGGGGGACAGGGATGGGATGGGATGGGAGGACAGGGATGTGGGATGGGGGGACAGGAATGTGGGATGGGGGGACAGGGATGGGATGGGGGGACAGGGATGGGGTTTTTTCCCGGCTCCAGCGCTGCTTTTGGCCACTATCCCTGGACTGTTCGTCCCCTCTCCCCGCTCTGCAGCCCGTCACGGGCCCGGGGAAAGGAGAAGGAGGTTCCCCGGAGCGGGGGAGCAGCGCGGAGGCGGCGCGGGGGGGAGGCAGAGGAGCGGGAGGGGGATTTGACGGCGGCAGCAGCAGCAGCAGCAGCAGCAGCACATTTCACAGCCTGTCACGCTTTAATGGCAGAGGAGATCAAAGCCGGGATGGAGTTATTCATAGAGATAAACCAATCCCCGAGGAGGCGAGGAGAAAACAACATCGCGAGCTCTGTTATCCCGGCTCCGAGAGCCCCCCGGGGAGGCTGTCGCGGAAAGAGCCCGGGGTGGGGAGAGCTGAGCCTGGCACTGCCCGGCCCTGCCAAAAATCCGGCTGAGCCGGGGCCGAGCTGCCCACGACACCCCCGCGGGGTGCCCGGAGGTCGGGCTGGATGGTGGGGAGGGATGAGAGGCGGGTGCAGCCCCAGAGCAGCGTGTGGGGGGTGGATATTTGGGGCTCCCCGCAGCCGGGCTGTCCCGGGCGGGTGAACCGAAAGGGAGACAAAAAAAAGCAGGTTTTTAGCTTTTTTTCCACGTGCTCTGGCCCCTGGATGCGCTTTGCGGCTCCCGGAGCTGCCAAAATGGTGGTGGAGAAGCACCTGCGGCGCTGCCATCGCCACTCCGGGCGGGATGAGCCTCTCCGGGAGGGGTGGGATGAGCTCCGGGCAGGATGGGATGAGCTCCAGGCGGGATGGGATGAGCTCCGGGCGGGATGGAATGAGCCTCTCTGGGTGGGATGGGATGAGCTCCGGGCAGGATGAGCTCCAGGAGGGATGGGATGAGCTCCGAGTGGGATGAGCTCCAGCCGGGATGAGCCTCTCCGGGCGGGATGGGATGAGCTCCAGGAGGGATGAGCCCCAGGAGGGATGGGATGAGCTCCGGGCGGGATGGGATGAGCCTCTCCAGGAGGGATGGGATGAGCTCTGGGCAGGATGAGCCGCTCCGGGACGGCTCCCAGGCTGCGGATCCCGCCCGGATCCCCGGCGGGAAGGCAGAGCAGGGGCAGCCGCGCGAGGTGGGATTTCCCGGGATCTCTGCCGGGACTAATCCCCTCTCCCCTTTATCAGATGCTGCCACCTTGCCTGCGCTCGCTCCGCCGGCCAAGCCCGGGCGCAGTTTGTGTTATCCAGCCCTTTATCCCCCAGATTAGACGCCTCACAGTGGATTAGTGTGGCACATTCTGAGGCGGAAAAAATCGACCATTAAAAAAAAAGAGGGGGTTTTTTTTTCCCCTCTGTGTTATTCCCCTCTGTATTATTCCCCACCTCCACCTCCTCTCCACCCCGTCCCCTGCGGGCACAGCGGCCCCGGCTGTGGGGGCTGGTGATGTTCCAGGTCCCTGAGCCATCCTGCTCCTGATCCCTGAGCCATCCTGCTCCAGATCCCTGTGCCATCCTTCTCCATGTCCTTGTGCCATCCTGCTCCAGATCCCTGAGCCATCCTGCTCCAGATCCCTGAGCCATCCTTCTCCATGTCCTTGTGCCATCCTGCTCTAGATCCCTGTGCCATCCTGCTCCAGATCCCTGAGCCATCCTTCTCCATGTCCTTGTGCCATCCTGCTCCAGATCCCTGTGCCATCCTGCTCTAGATCCCTGTGCCATCCTTCTCCAGCTCCCTCTGCCATCCTGCTCCAGGTCCTTGTGCCATCCTGCTCCAGGTCCTTGTGCCATCCTTCTCCAGATCCTTGTGCCATCCTGCTCCAGATCCCTGAGCCATCCTTCTCCAGGTCCCTGAGCCATCCTTCTCCAGGTCCCTGAGCCATCCTGCTCCAGGTCCTTGTGCCATCCTGCTCCAGGTCCTTGTGCCATCCTGCTCCAGGTCCCTGAGCCATCCTGCTCCAGGTCCCTGAGCCACCCTGCCCTGGGTGCAGACTCAGCCCCCG